AAACTGTTTTGGATCTAGATATTTTGTTTTTGAGAGCACTTACTGTGAGTGTTTCCTGATCAGGATGCTGCTCCAGTGCCTGTCCACATGGCTGTGAAGGCTCTCTGCCCCACCTCCCTGTGCCTGAGCATCCGAAGTCTTTAGAGCAGACTGCCTCGAGCGGTTTCTCCTACTTCCATTCACTCAGTAGAAGTGACTGAACACTCAGTTAAACTGACTTTTGATTATTTTTAAGATTAGTTGACTGTTCCCACTTTATTTTCATCTTTTTGAATATTTTGTGAACCAAGCATTAAGAGAGATTTAAACAGGAAAAGACTTAAGGCCAAAGGAAGAATAAAAGAGTTTTGAGATTTCACTAGAGTTAAATTGTACCCTACTTCTTGGATTTGAAACAGATATATGAATGCATTTGTACTTTAAAATTAAATTACCTTAACAAGACAAATAATGTTAATTGTCACAAATTGAACTATAATGTACACCGTATGCTTTATAGCTTTATGTTTCATTTTATACACAACTGCATGGACTTTCACCTACATTTTATAATTAAATCTAAAACCCTTAAAAGATTTTCCTGAAGTCAAAAGGTGAATTATTTAAATGACCCCGCTTTAAAGATGATAGAAATTTGTTGATCATCATTTCTACATCCTGAAACTTCATTCCATTGGATAATAATTTATTGTTAAAAATGGGCGCATTTAAATTCACTGATTAACCCTCTAATGCAAAATAAAGCCATTTTGCTAAAATTTCAAAATGTAAGCATCCATAGTATTAAAGTGTATTATGTATGAGGTTTCTTGGTTTTAATAATTAGTGTTATGAAGGCATTAGATATATTGAATGAAAAATGGTGCGGGAACCTGGAACTCTGCACCAGTTCCCATGTGGGCTGCAGGAATCTAGACACTTTTCCATCTTCTGCCCTCCCAACACATTGGCAGGGACCTGTATCAGAAGCTGAGCTCATAGGACTCAAACCAGAGTTGCAATACGGGATGCTCACGTCAGGCAGGTTAAAGTGCTATGTTGAAAGTCCAGCCCCATGTTACCAATTTTAAAGAATCAATATACAGAGAAATTTACTCAGTATTAAAACTTCTTGAACTAAAATTTGATCTTTTCTTTATGACATCAAACTAATTCAGTATGCAGCTTCATTTGGTTATTATTAGTAAAAGCATAGATATTATTCTGTCAATAAAACATGACACTGCCTGTTATCACAATGCTCTGGTTGGGAGACTGCCATGAAGAGAATTCCACCAAACAGTGCTTCTTTACTTCCCGGCCCTTCTGAATAGTTGTTCCTGCATCTAAAGTTTGCTGTGAGCCCACACTAGTCAGTGCTAGCAGTGAGCCCACATCGCATCCCAGGAGAGCTTCTAGGAGGACAGAATGGCGAACCCTTCCACACACAGGCAAGGGAAAACCTCAGCCTGTGCTCATTGCACAAATGATTGGTGGGCAACTCAAGTTCGAGAAGTACCAAAGTAAATAACACTGCCCTCCCTTGATTATACTATCATTGGATCTCCTTTTAGTTGACGGGAATAAGCAATCCAGGAGAGTTATGAGTATGCTTGCTTTTGTTTGTGCGAAATGTAACCATTTTGAGTATAAAGCCCCGTGTTTCCCACAGAGTTCTGAAGCCATGTCACAGGGCTAATTGCCCCCAGTGAGAGGTGATGTTTTTTACTCTACTGGCATCTAAAGTTTCCACTCCCTTGGCGATTATTCTGTTTCTCCCCCTTGGAAATAAACTGAGAGTCTGGTAAAGATCGTGATTCTTTGTCATTAGAAAAAGGAAAAGGGTCCAGCATGATGGCTTAATTGGCTAAATCCTCTACCTCCAAGTGCTGGAATCCCATTTGAGCACCAGTTTGTGTCCCAACTGCTCCACTTCCCATCCAACTCCCTGCTTGTGGCCTGGAATAGCAGCAAAGGATGGCCCTAAGCCCTGGGACCCTGCACCTGCATAGGAGACCCAGAAGAAGCTTGTGGCTCCTGGCTTCGGATTGCTTTAGCTCCAGCCATTGCATCCAACTGGGGAATGAACCAGCAGATGGAAGATTTTTCTCTTTGTTCCTCCTGGTCTCTGTTAATCTTTCCAATAAAAATAAATAAATCTTTAAAAAAGAAAAAGGAGGAAAGGATGAGTTTGCAAAATGGGCTTTTCAAGGCAGTCAGGATACTATAATAACAAATGTCTTATTCTGCAACCACTCTGCTGGGGATGACGCTGGTTGCTGGAGGGGCAGGGCAATCATATTAACATCTTGTCCTCAAAGGAACTTGCAGTCTAATAGGAGTTTGGTGGAATGAAAGGGTGCTTCCAGGCAAGGACCAGATCGATGGTCCCCAACTCCGGCCTTAGCCTGGTTACTGAGAATCAAAGTGGTATCTAACCAGAGCAGCTTTTTCACAAATATATTTTACACTTCTGCATTTGTCATGTGTTACTGCAAATTAGAGTCAATATAAATCAACAAACTGTAGTAGATGCATGCATTCTGAAAAGCCATGCCAGAGAAAAGAACTCTTCCTAGGTTGGAAAAGAAGTGATGTGATGTAACCTCTGAATTACATCTTGAAAGACTAAAGAGGTTTGCCATGCAGAGAAAAGTTCCAAGTAGAAGAAATCTCAAGTTCCCGAGAACAGTAGTGTCAAGTTTTTATCTGGACAATAGCAACTAACAGAAAGACAGAATGCAGAAGAAATGACTCGGCAAGATTAGGTTGGCCCATTCATAAAGAATCATATTTAACTCAAACATATCTGACCTTTAATAAAACAAAAGGGATCTTGAAGAATTTTAAGCAGAGCCCTCTTAAATGGCCGAGTAGGCTGACAAAGAATGTGTGCGGAAGACACTCTGCTTTATTCCTCCCTGCCTCAACTCCCCTGAACTTCTGGCCCTCTTTTCTCTCTGCATATTGTGTTAGATTTCATCCTATTCAAAGTCTATCTTGGGGACCAGTGTTGTGATGCAGAGAGTTAAGCCACCCACAGTGATGGGATGTCCTTTCTTAGAGCCTCAGTTGTAATCCTGGCTGCCCACTGCCAATCCAGCTCCCTGCTAACGTGCCTGGGATGGTATTAGGGGTGTCCCGAATGCCTGGGCTCCTCCACCCATGTGAGAGACCCCAGAGAGTTCCGGTCTCCTGGCTTCGGCCTGAGCAAACCTTGGCTGTTGCAGCACTGAGAATTAAACAGTATTGGAAGATATTTGTCTCTCTCTTCCTCTCTGTGTAATTCTGCCTTTCAGTAAAAATATTAAAAATAATAATACCAGATTAATGCTGCATCCCAAACCCTTCAAAATAGGATCGCCATTCACTGCATTCTTTAAGCAGAAAATGAGTATTATCTTGAAGTATCATTTTCTGATAGTCCCAGGCCTCCTTCCCCCTGTCTCTCCCTTTCTCCCCAGCCCCATTCTAGCATATCACTCTGTTGCTTCTAAAATCCTGAACCAGATCTTGTTCTCACTCTCAATAAGCCATCGTCTACATTCTCCTCACTTTCTCCTAAAAAATTGAATACAGCTTTGGGCTCCATTGCCCCCCTCTTAACTTGAGGTCAATCTTCGCATTCCCTTGCCTGACAGATACCATCCTCATATTTATTTCTGCTGAAAGGTGATATTCTTTTCCTTTGGACTTCACAAATTAACCTTTACTGTGCAAACAGCTCGTGGCTGTGACTCAGCACATTGACTTCAGTATTAAGTGGAGACGCGAAGACTTCTCTGGGACATCAGCTTAGATTCCTTTCCAGCTGCATCACCACCACCCCCGGTGCAATTATAGGAACCAGCTGGATGGGGGAAGAAATTGCTTCTTCCAATGCACTGACGTTTCTTGACTAGAACTGCTTTGATTACACGTGGCAGAGGTTAGAGGAGGGCACACCATGGGGCCACTTTGAGCTGCCCTCATTCCCCACACTTCACACGCAGTTTTTACATTTGAGAGGAGATTTCAGAAATGCAGTGGCACAATTCTGCAGTTCATCTCCTTGTTAGGAGTAGCTGACATGGCGAAGCATGTCTGGCTGCTTTCCCAGGGGAGTGCCTGTGACCCTCCGAGTTGAACAGCAAGCAGTTCTAAAGAGTAGTGCAGAGCTCTTAGTGAGCTAGTTGAGCTTAGCTGGGCTATCTGTCTTGTGAGTATTCAGTTTAAGGAAACACACTGTGAACCTAGAAAGAGACTTAGAGAAGTTGTTTCAGGTATAGCTTACTATTTAAGGAACTTTTAATATCCTTAAAGCTGCTTCAAAAATATCAATTTAGATTACTTATTCCTAAGTTACTTCAGAAATAGCCACATAAAAGCCCAACATTTACACTACACTGCTGAAAGACAGCAACGATACATTACATTTGTGGCGTTTCCTGTTTTCCTGTTGTTATGGCTTAACATTTCCTTGAAATTTTTCTTCGTTTTAATTGACTAATGGAAGCAATTTGCAAGTGCAACATAGTTGTATAAATGAGGACATAGTCATTTGTAAATGAAGCATGATAGGACTGGCTTTTATGCATGTAATCAGCATATCATAATGAAATTTGAACTTAGCATAAGGAAAAGGATATAAATTGGAAAACTAGTCGTTTTAAGTTTGTTTTTACAAATCTTAAACTCCTAAAGATTACAATAATCCTTTTTTTGCAAGGCATTTTTTGAAATTATTTAAAAATGTAACAGAAATCAAATTGAAGTAAGGCACTAAATACACTCAATTATAGAGGCACACATCAATGTATGTTCAAAAGAAATTCAGAATTGTCGCTTAGCAGGCCTGCTTTAGAATGACTTAGCTTTAGTGATTTTCCCCAGAAGTCAGAAAATGTTTGCAGATATTTTCCAGTGAAAAAAAAGCTTAATTCATTTTAAGTCACAAAAATAATTTTATGCATTAGCCACAAGAAGTGAAATAGTGATTCGTGAAGATATAAATATTTGTTGATTTGATTTCTGTGTTTCAGACCTGAAGATTATCGCATAAAGTAGCATTGAGGCGACTGAAACTTCCTTCTGACGAGTTCCTCTAACTGTGGGGCAGAGCGAGGCAATTTCTCCGGATCTGCGTTGATTGCACATGCTAAACACTTTTAAGGAAAGGTCAGGGAGGGATATTCCTTCAAGAGGAAATCGCAACAAAATACATAACTTGATAGAATTATTTTATTACATAATCTTGTTTGAATGGTTTAAATAATGATTAAAAGTTTTCTTACTTGAGTATTCGGTTTTTTTTCTTTGATGAAAATGTAGGTCCTGGGTATAGAATTGTACCTAAAAGTTGCCAAAAAACACCCATCAAAGCAAATTTTCCTAAGCTACAGGTCACTGTTCTTTTCCACTGTGACTAAACCCCACCTTCATGCTTCCGTTCAGTGGCTATTTTATCTACCCTTTCTACCTTACTTCATCCTTGTAGCTCAGTTTAGTAACTCCTTCCCTGAAGTCTTTATAAGGTACTATCTTTTTCTGTATTCTGTCTAGCGTGCTGATCTTCCATGACACCAAAGTAGTTAAATGCCTGGCTGCTTCCTGGAAATCACTGCCCAGACTCGCCACGGGATCTCCACACCTGTGCTAGGGGCTTCTGTTTGCCTCTGTGCTGTGTACTGAGACTGAGGTCCTGCAAGGAATATCCCTGGAAAAGTGTCAGCTCTAGAAATTACTGTGCTAAACCACTCTGTCTGAGATTATTTATGGCAATGCATTTCATTTCCATTTTTTCCTTGTGTTGTTCTAACTAGCCAATTAAGAAGTGGGTTTCAGACCACATTTTCATTCGTCCAGCAAATATATATTGAGTATTGCTGTTTTCCAGGCTTAGTGTTAAACACTGGTTAAGCAGATGTCACTCAAACCTTTCTCAACCTCCATTCCCCGCCAGATTGCAGTCTTGTGGGGTTTGAGAAAGCTATACGTAATTGCATGTAAATGCCAGAGATACTAATATAAGTATTTTTGCATTGTGATGTACACATCTTTAGAAAGGAGTAACAACTCCATTGTGTTTGACAAGCTGGACAGATGTTTGGCCTACCAGGTAAGCAGCCACTTGAGACTTCACGTTGTGGTACTTGAGTTCAAGTCTCTGATCCAGTTTCCTGCTAATGCACACCCTGAGAGGCAGTAAGTGTTGGCTGAAATCCTGGGGTCCCTGCCACCACATACGTGGGAGACCTGCGTTGAACTCCACGTTCCCAGGTTTGGCAGGGCCCAGCCCTAACACTTGAGGGCTTTAGGGAGCGTACCAGTGAATAGGATTGTGTTCATCCCCCTTTTTTTTCTGTATCTGCCTCTCAAAAACTTAAATATTATTACCAAGTTCATTACTATATGTCATGCTCTAATTAACTATCAGCTGCAGCTGGGGCATGAACCAGCACTCATTTGGGAGGCTGGCACAACATGGAAGATTAGCCTGTTGAGCCATGGCGCCAGCCTCCAGTAGTTCTTTTGACTGATGTATCCTAAGCACCAGGAACAGTACCTAGCACATATTTGCTGCATGTTGAAATGGTATTGAACCCTTAAGTCTGATGTTTTGAGGTGAAATCATAGTATCAAATATTCAATAAGAATATTAAGACTGATTGTTGTAAACTTTCCTGTCTTTTGCTGTATATGACCAGAAAGAGCTTCCACCTCCCTGGTGGCTATGGGGGAAAAGGAATTCCCCAACACTGCCTCCCCTGCCTGTGGGAGATAGTTTGTGTTCAGAGGGAGTGAGCAGGGAAGATGCCACACCAAGACACTGCAGCAGCTCAGGGGCAGAAAGTACGCCGCTCATCAGGTGGCCATGTGCAGAAAGGATAGGAGAGTTATTACATGTTTTCTGTTAACTGTGTTTGTCTTTAATGTTCAAATTAGTGCAGGTAAATATGTAATCAAATCACCAAAATCAAATTTGTTTGCAAGCAGCTTTGACTGAAAATGTATTGCACTGCTAAGTAATAACAGCTGTGAGACTCACCCAGCTGAACAGAGACCCGAAACAATACAGAGCACACCTTCTCACCTCATTGCCATATGTGCTTTATCTTGCTGATTCCAACTTTCTCAGTGAAACATGAGTAACTATCTTCCTATAACTAGCAACTTTAAAACACTTCTCATATTCTGAAGTTTTAAAATGATATAATGTGATATTACCACAGCCAGTGGGCCCAATGCAATCAAATTAATGAACATAGGAGACAACACTAAAATCAAGAGGAACAAGAGCTGTATGTGAGCTATGACTGCTTTCCAGAGAACTGAAACCTGAAGGGTGTGTGTGGTGCGCTGGTGATAGCTAGAAGCCCCTTGCAGCAGGAGAGCACTTTGTGGCAACCATTTTTAGCGGAGCCACACAGACAACTTCATCTCGGAGCACCATTAAACAAACAGGGTTGCAGTTCTGCTTGAAGCCAGCTCAGCAGATCACTGTCCCCTCGTGTATTCCCATTTCAATCACAAACTTATGATCTTCTTTACATATAACTGGAAATCCTTCAAAGCTCATGCAAGATTAGTCTTCCAACTCCAGAGTCATCCCCTTTCTATAAAGATATCTGCCAAGCAAATCACATATTGTTAAAATAACAGTATTTAATATGGTATTCCTTTGCTAGAAATGTATGATGTTTACAATTATGGTAGAGTTTTCTTATATGACTTATAAGAATACTACCCTGGAGGACACACTGAATTCATTGTAATTACTAATGAATGCATTCTCCTGCCAACCAGCCTCCTGTTCCAGAGGCCTGACACATTGGATCAGCCCCAGCAGACGTGGCCACATGTACAGTAAGTGGTGGAATTCTCTTGTCTTGCCTTGGTTGGGTTAGGCTGGGGGCACCTCACTGTAAGGCATTTTGAACGGGCATGGAAACAGCTGCCAGAACCTAATCTCCACACGCTTTTGTTAGCAGCTCAGTCAGAACCTAACAGATGGGCAGGATAAAGCTCCTAATTAAAGTGAGTCTTTAAAACCAGCCCTTCCCCAGCTTGCCATCCTTTCCTAGAGCTACTCAACCAAGATAGCTGCAGGAGCTGTGGTCGGTGAGTTTGATGAATAATCTCTTGGTTTGTACAGACTGGTTCATGTGCTGAAATAGACTTGGGGAGAGTGGTAAAGGATGAATAATGTAGTCTTTAAAAGTAGTTAAAAAGCAGAATTTTGTTGACTTAGAAGGTTACTGTGGATGGAAGAGGCTTAGTAGACATGTAAACTGCAATGTTTATCAAATTCCCACTAAAGCTCCTCTCCTTTATTATGAACTCCATCAAAGCTCAATCGAGACACTGTCACTGTGCATGTCTTTTTTGTGTGCTGTAGTCAACTGATTTTTTCCCCTTATTTTTCCTGGAAAAGGGGGGTTAGCGCCACACATTGAGCCAAGAACAATTAAATGTCGAGGTCTCTCCTGGCTGAAAATTGCCCCCCTGGAACAGGTAGCGAGGTCTGAGTCCGAGAAGCCTGCAAACCCCAGGAGGGATTTGGCTGCCAGGTTCTACAGTGCAGAGTTTGAGTTGGACAGAGCCCTGTTTAAACGTCTGATCTTTCCAAGGCAGCCCTTAAGGCTTCCATTTAACTTAAATACTCGCTTTTGCAGAGAAACAGTATTTCTTCGACTATGCCCAGAAACCCAAAATAGAGTTGAGTATTTTCGCAGCATTGCTCGTGCTTGGGGCTTCACCCTGGAAGAATGTGAATCTAAGATCAGCTCCCTGTAAAACAGATGGTCAGCTTCACCTGAGGGCCAGCTTGGATTCGGCTACCTGCCAGGAAGCCTTAAGATCTAGTTTCCACAGACGGCATAAATAAGATCTCTAAAGGAGACACAAGTTTGTATCCATGCCACTTACTGGTTCATGAGAAACTCTAATTTCAAACAAATCTGTATTTTAAGACTGAGACCTCTGCTTCTACCACACCCGGTCTTCCATCTCACAGTTTTGCCAAGTCAAACCTCTCAAGCAGTGGCTGCTGCAAGAGCATTTTCTTTGTGCTGCGACACCTGTGCTTTGTTGTCTGGGGTTGTTAGCACTCCGGCTCATAAGCCTACATTAAATTGTTCAGAATCACTTTGAAATTACGGTGCCATTTGGCATCTTCTTTAGCAATCACAAAACCAACATAGGTCTGGAAACTTATAGGAGCTCCTGAATAAAGCATCTGTCTAGTTTTTTTAGTGAGTTCACCTGTCCCAAATAAAGTATTTATATAATTTGATAGAATAATATTACCAGTTATTTTACCACCAGCCTACTGTTACCAGTGTGGTGCGTATACAGTCAGTAACTCATGGAGAAATGTCGATCTCTATTCCCCAAGCAGTTTGATCTGGAAATCTCAGAGTTGGAAGCCATGAAGGGTTGTCTGCTGCCTTTCATCCAGTCAACCAATTCTTAGATCTTAGAAATGATTCTAGGTGCTAAAGATACCTACTTATGTCTGTGAATGGTTCCTGCTGAACTGGAGCTACATTTCAGTGGAAAGGGACAGAGGAAGACACGTGTGTGCAGATAAAATGCATATTACATGTAACATTATATACAACATTTAATAGTGTTAGATGTGAGATCTCGGAAGTATTAGCATAACAGTGCTGCCCAGCTACCTCCAAACAACAGTTTTGTTTTAATTGCTTCCAGGTGTGACATGGCTGAAGCTTGGCTGATTAAGGCTGAACTCACTTCCATGTCTAGGTGTAGAGCACCTATGTCTCTGGTCATCTTCAGGCTAGGGACCTACAGAAGAAATATATAAGAGAACAGGCTAAGTGCAGGCGCCGTCCAAATCTGCTGTGTATACACATGAACATCTCATAGGCCAAGAGAAGTCCAAACCAAGGCCTTGCGAGGTACTCTGTCATGGAGGTCAGAAAAGCGGCAGGGGTGAATATTTAAAAACAAAATAGTTTATCCAAAACACGAAGAGAAGAAGGTTACAGGGCATTTAGAGGGCTGAAAGTTTGTAAGTGAGGCAGGTTACAATATAAGATGACATTGAAGAAAAGCTTGAGTGTCGTGGCATAGCACCTTGAGCTGCCTCCTGCAATGCCAACATCCTGCTACATGAGCACCAGTTAAATTACTCCCAGTTCTCTGCTAAGGCACATGGGGAAGGAGTAGAAGGTAACCCAGATGCTTGGATCCCTGTACCTACATGAGACCTGCAGAACTTTGCAGGCTCCTACTTCGGCCCAACCTTGGCTTGATTAGATCATTCACGGAGTGA